TTTACTTGAAATATTAAGCAAAATCACAAATTTTTAGAGTTTTCTACTTCGTTTCTTTCTTTGTGTCTGTTAAAGAGACTTCTTTAACGGAGTTATACACTCATTAAAATTATGAACAATCATACACATAATATTTAAAATAACATATCAGTATCTAGCTACCTAATACTTTCTTTCCTCAGATTTATGCAAAAATAGTCATATAAAGTAACAATATTAAGATATGGAATTAATGATCAGAATTAGTCCAAATTAATCAATATATAATAGTGGATAGATCTCTTGACATAGGCATATGAGTAATTGGAGGAAGTCAATACAAGTAGGACCACAGTCTAATCCCTGCTTTCGTGAGTTGTGACAATCAGCACTGAATGCAACATGTGATGGTGCAATGAGTTTTACACTAATGTCTTTTTCAGATCATAAATACGTATTAGTACCTCCATCGTCATGTCTACATAATCATACAACTAATCATGTATATATACATACATATATATTTGCATATACAGTACATCTGATGTAACTTCTTATTACATGTACAAAGGAAAAAATTAACATGTAATTCTGATCATGAGCTTTTCAATACGATACAGTACGACAAAAATTTAACGAAACAAATAGTACCGTATATTCATTGTTATTTTGTTTTTTTTTTTTTTTTTTTTGTTGGGAAAAGTTGTCAGAGAAATTACTAGTTAAGTTGCTTATAGCTTGTCTGCATGCACATGTACATGTCTTCAATATGTGAGAGAGACAGTGAAACAAATGCGCCACAGTACTGTAAAAAGACAACGATTCATTAATATTATTGGACCAGAAAATTAAAATCGTCTTTGGCATCTTTTGTGATTAGATTTTGTAGTGAGAACGAAAGGCAAAATTTGGTTCAGAATCGCCAAATTAGAGTGTAGACGGAACAAATGGGAGCATTTGAGGCCAGAAGGAATAACGAGGATTATCCATCAGTCAATATAAAGGAATCAAATTCTCAATATTGACAAAAGCCGCAAAGAATATTATATATTCCCAGAAAAAAAAAAACAATAATATTAGGAGCTGAACAGGGAATATAAATAAATGAAAAAAATAGATGGAATTGATCGAACATTTCGTTTTTTTTTTTTTTTTTTGGTTTTCTTCAAAGCATTTCAAGAAGTTTTGAGCCACCAGCACGGTACCTAACAGGAATTCGAATCAATATGTTCGTTAGTAACAATGCGATTTAATTATGCAAACGGAATATAACATTTGAAACATCCCTTTAAAAAACGAAAAAGAAGAAGAATATGAGATCTTCCCGCCACTACTCAATGACATCAAGTATAGATTTGCGAATCAAGTTGGTTTTTTCGAATCGATGATGTGCAAAAGATTAATAATTTTAGGGCTATCTATGACGGCATAATATAAGTGGTTGACTTATGAAAAATTATCATGAATAATCATTAGATAAGATTCAATTCTTTTTTTTTGTTATTCATATTGCTTAAAGGTCCCAAAAAAAAAAAAATGTAGCACCATTGTATATTTGTAATGTACATACATTTACACATCCATGTATTATGTGTATATCGGGAGAAAATTTTTTTGAAGTCGAGTGGCGCTCGCTGGACAATGCCACTAAGAGGATTCTACACAGCGGTGACGACATTAAAGAGGGAGTCTTTGAGTGTGTAAGACCGGTTGGTGATTGTAATTCTTTGAACTTAGTGGATTGTTCACTGTCTAGGCGTGACCCCGCAGATATTGGTGTGCGCACCGAACTGTGATATCATTTTTTGGTGTTCTTTAGTTTTCTCCTACATTATTTTTTATTCCTGCACGTTTTCATTTACTGTCATTTGATCACCACATAACTTGACCATTAATTACAGGTGTTGCTAAAAGTGTTGTAACACCTGCGTGAAAATCATACCTTACAATTGGTATCAAAGAGGTTCACTAACCGTTTGTCTGGTGAGGTTTTGGGATTTGGCCTGTTGTGTCAGGGATGGACTTTTTGAAAGAAGGTGGCTCAGTTTCGCGTCCTCCTCTCCTCGATGGTTCCAATTATACCTATTGGAAAACACGTATGAATGCTTTTATCAAAGCTATTGATGAAAAGACGTGGCGTGTCGTTCTAACTGGTTGGACACACCCAATCACTCCACGAGCGGCCGGCATAGAGCTTTCATTCTAGATGTATTCTAGGGGTTTTTTTTTTTTTTTTCAAGAGTACAAGTAATCAAAGTAAAAGCTTCGGAACAAAAAGGATTTCTCAAAAAACTAAAATTTGAAATTTGTGATTACCGTCCAATTTCCAACTCTCATCTTGTTCTCCCCCACTAGGATAATAATAGCTAGCTTGAGATCAAAGCGAGTCCGTGACATTGCTTCATCCGAAAGGCTCCAAAGAATATTGCATATTTCTTCTTGTTTGGTTTTTTATTTCCTCCTAAATCCAAAAAGACAAAAATCCATATATGTATTTTTAAGGCATATGTATTTAAAACTATAAATCGCAAACAAACACTTAAAATGGGGAACAAACACACGCAGTTATACTATATCCTGCGTAACGCCGGACTAGAGGCATACTATACAAGACATATAGATGACCAAAAAGACAAGCGATTGGCTTGTCACTATTTGCATTAATTATATAGAAAGTTTCTTCACGAAGGGCTGCCCTTACTTTCTAGGGGTCCGACCTCTGATGCGACAGCAGACACTTCCCCCGAATTTCATCATACACAAATATATATATACATATATATATATATATTAGACATTCTACTAAAAAAATAATTCATAGTTGCCTAACAAAAAGTCAAATAATTAAGTGTTTTTTTCCACCCCTTACGGGCTATAGATGTCTATATAAAGTTTGTATATAGTGCAGTACACATGCTAAGCTTTATTAAAACCAGATAATACAAATGAAATTAAATTATTGAATTAAGGACGATTTTTTATTTTTTCTTTGTGCACTGAATGATGGAGAGAGAATAGTATACAAAAGACAAAGAAATGAAATTAAAAATAAAGAAAGTGACAATGAATGATATTCCAACAGCAAACCCAAGTGCACGTTCACATTTTCCCTTAGATTATGAGAGCCCCCCCGTTCTCCCCCCATGTGATCATAGCCGTACAAACAATGTTCAATCAGTGATTCGTTTGGCTCCATGCTTCTATTTATCTCTTTTTTTTTTTTTTTTTTTTTTTTTTTTTTTTTTTCCTTTTTTGTGTCTTACAATTACACGTGTGCCCACCTATTCTTTAAAGCCTCAGTCGGATTAGTACCAACTCATTACACTCATATATATATATATATATATATATGCCTAGCCATTAATTTATTCGGAATATAGCATATATTGTAGGAATGAATAAATGGAGGTTCATTTTTGGCAAATATTATTTTGTGTATTTAAGATGTTCAACTATAGCTAACTACATTGATTGTAGAAATCATGTATAGTGTGGTCCTTCATAAGGTCAATTGTTTTGGTTAAGATGAATTTGGTAGACAATCATGAAGAAGTTGGAGTAAATCTCACTAAGATTATATATATTTGTTTTTGCAGAATAGTTCAGATTTGAAAGAAGTACCTTACCTATTATATATATCTAACTAGGTATGAATCATGATCATCTATGGGCTGTACACCCAACCCCTCATGATTTAAACTATTTTTAGCTTCGATTTTTTTAAGACTATGTTAATCTAAGTACTTCCTTCCCCAATCAAATAAAAAAAAAGAATTAAAATTAAAGAAACCAACTATATACTACAACTTGTTATATTGAGATACTATAGAAATCTAAAAAAAAAAAAAAAAAAAATTCCATTATGAATTAGATTTCATGTTAATGATCTTATCTTATGATAGCAAGACCCTAATTTTAGTCTATTATTAACTTATTGCAAGGTCCTAATATTCAAAACGAATGCATGTTACTTTGGATGACAATAATCATGTGGCTTGATGTCATCCAAAATCATAACTAGTCTTCTTGCCGAAAGAAGAGGATGAATTGATCAACGCGATTAGAAGCTGTCAAAATGGTCTAAATCCTTATGATGTTGGAAAATAAATTGGTAAAAAATGGTTATAACAACATATATATAAATGGCCGTTTCACTTAATCAATCTTATGGGTCAACAAAAAGAATGGAGGGATAGAAGGGAAAAAAAAAAAAAAAAAAAAAAAAAAAAAAAAAAAATAAAAAAAAAAA